AACTATTCACGAAAATCTGGTTATCGTGTGAAGGTTCTACCAGTAACGTTACAGTGAGCGATATGTAGCTAATTCACGCAAGCTTGTATGTTCGCCTGCAATTTTCAACCATTATGACCAACTATACATTTTAGCTGGTTAGAGTCTCTGTAAACCGTGCAATCGAACCTTGTTTTACTCATGACCTCATCTGCGCTATTCGCCAAATAATGAGCTTACGAATTCACGTTCTCACGGACTTTCTCTCAAATTTAAAAACCGCGTATTTTGGCTAAATCTGCCACATCCCTCTCGCGCAAAGCAAAGGTGATATCAGCGCGTCACGTGCTTGTGATTGATATCCTATTGCACTGCTTACAAAAATTCCAACCCACGAAAATAGTACGCGAGTTTGTCAGCAAATGGGCGAAACGCAGGCGAACTTGCGAGCTTGATTTAGCTACATCTCTCTCTCATTATGACGTTATTGTAAGACCTTGCGCAGGATGACCAAGTTTGTGAAGGATCCAAAAATTTCTGTAAGCGAAGTTTCCAGTCAATCCAAGATCATTGATATGTCAACCAAAACCTAGGCGAGCTCAAGAGCGAGGAACGAAAAAAGATAAAATGGCGCGATTTTCTCATGAAGTTTGTCCTTAGGGGTTATCCAACCTGCTAATAATGAGAGTCACATCTGATTTGCAAAATAGCACCTTACTGTAGGGCTACGGTAGAGAGATTTCAGGTAAATTATTACGCCCTCACATGAAAGGAACATTTGGTTCTGCTACTTGCAACTCAGGAAGCTAATCTACCGAACAATGCTCAAGTGAGGCCTCCATTTACAAAAAGATAGATCTGTCCTCTTACAAAGTTGACCTTTTTTCCTCTCTGCCCTCTCTTCGTTCGTCCGCAAAACGTAAGTGATGAACATATCAACGCGAAACTCAGCTTAGGTAGGCAATATGGCATGCAGACACACTACTAACGCCAAATTTGCCTTCTATTAGCTCATTCGAAAACTTTTTTGTTTTCGCATCATCGAATTCAAATAGCACAACTTTTCCCAAATCTAGCATTTTTCCACCAAATAAACTTCATTGTGTCCAGCATATTTCTGGCACTTCTGTTGTGCTCATGTGCTTTTCTCTTGCGAAATAATCTCAGAGGGATAACAAAACCTAAAAAGGGGTTGTTAATTAGCTAAGTTTTATCAGTCCTATCATTGAGGCACCGAGAAATTAGAAAAATGATTGGTAACATAGGTGGATAAGGTGAGAATGACCCCTGCAGAGTGAAGTGGGTCACAGCGGTTGCAGCCTCTCCGGGTGAAGGGTGTTTCACTTGGTAGAGAAATTATTTATAAAGTGTGACCGAGGCGGGAGGGGAATTGTTCGGAAAAAATCAGACAATTTTCAAGCATTTGCGAATTTTCTAAAGGAAAAATTCGTAATCTGTAGATGGACAGCAACGTCAGTAAGGAAAATGTTTTCAAAACCATCTTGTCTTTCGCTTTTAGAGAATATATATTAGGTCGTCCCGAAAGTTTTGTCCGTTTTTTCAACCTATCATAAAAACGCGTGGAACGAAGATAGGGAAACGCTCTAAGCACTATCCGACGCATTTTTTCCTCCTCTTTCTAACTGTCAAGTCCGCATGCCGATTACTCTATTGCTTACTGAGGTAAGCGCCGAAATATCGAACCCATGGTTTTTACTATGTCCAAGTTTGGCAATTTTTCACAATCTTCATTTTCAACTTTTGGAAGTACTTTGATAGCCGTCGGATAGAGTAAGCAAATGTCAATGCAATGCAATTTATTGGCATATCAAGCTGGCTTTTCAATATTTTTAAAGATAATTTTTTCAAAAGTCTTTACTTTTGCGAAGTTCTAAAGTACAGAAACGCCTCGAACACCAACAAATCATCGGATTTTGAAGCTTTCAAAAACTGATTACAATTATTCACTATTTTTACGAAGCAAATGAGCGTTTACCGCTTTGAAATATAAGATTTTGCATTCTACGTGTACACGGTGGGGTGGGGTTAAATTCAAGAATTACGAAAAACAGAGACCCCGCAATTGGAGAGAAAATACACTCACTGGAAAGAGGAGGAAAAGCTGCATTGAATAATACACCCACCGGCAGTGCCGCTTTTCAAAAAAGCGTTTTAAACGCAATAAAGCGCCGGAAGTGCCGCATTGCTATAACTTCTTTCAAATTACTTCCACAGAGTTCTGATTTAAATATTTAGAACCAGCACTATCTGATGCATCAGACAAACTGTTTAAAAATTGAAAATTATGAAATTTTTCTGTGCCGTAGGGCGCAATAAACGCGATATTGCGTCGGAAGTGCCGCATTGTAATAGATTTTTACAATACTACTCTTTTTGATTTTTGTTATTGTATTTGGATTCAGCGCTGTTTTCTCTATCCGATAATCTATTCAAAGTCTGAAAAAATCAAAATTTTCATGTGCCGCAGGGCGCAATAAACGCGATTTTGCGTCGGAAGTGCCGCATTGATATCACTGCCTTCATACTTGTCCCAGAAAAATTTTGTTTACAGTGTTGTCATCAGAGCCTCTTAAGCTATCCGCCAATATGTTTAAATGTTCAAAAACATCATTTTTGAGTGAATTACACCCTCTAAATCCTATTGGTCTCTTTTCCGCACTGATAAGCTGATAACAGTCTCCAGAGTTATCGTACAAGATTTTGAGCGACATATTTGTAATCAGCGCTTTCCGGGCTATCCACTGATATGCCTAAAAACCTAAAATTCCAAAAAAATATTTTTCGTATTTTTTTGGTCCCTCGTATTGGTGTTATTAGCTAGGCTGGCTCCGGCCCCTGGCTTCCGTGACCTACCGGTATCGATTTATCTTATCAATATCGCTTCAGTACTACAATGTGGAAGCAGTGCTTATACGTTAACTTCCACACTTCAAAAGTGTGGTACATACTGAAAATTGAAATTCAAAATCATGAACTTCAATTTTTCAAATTTATTGAAATTTGAAAGCTACTCTCAATCTGTTCAAAAACTCTGAGTTACTGTATAAGTTACAAGTTCAAGTTAAAACTCCAAGTTTGAAAGTGTGATACATACTGAAAATTGAAATTCAAAATCATGAAATTCAATTTTTGAAATTTATTGAAATTCAAAAGTTACTCTCAATCTTTTCAAAAACTCCAAGTCACTGCATAAGCTACAAGTTCAGGTTGAAATCCAAGTTCAAAGCTGCGATACATACTGGAAATTGAAATCCAAAATCATGAACTTCAATTTTTGAAAAAAATACTGTTATCTAAACCCCATTATCCGCACATAATGTGTATGCTTGAGTAAAATCCTATTTAAAATGTATAAACGGTGTAGCCTTTCACTATCAAGAGTTGTCGCTTTTGTTTCTTTCCTTATTGGGGCTATCAACTTTGATTAAGTGCACCTGCACTCAGAGCTCTTTCGAAGCATAATTGCATCTAGAGCCAGATCCTGGCTTCTCAGTCCAAGATCGGCAAAGAATTCAAAGTAATCTGGTCGAAGTAATTAGTTTTTTCAATGGTTGAGCTATGAAACTCCTGCCAATGACGCCATAAGTGTGCTCGTATGTGTTCTCTTCGCATACCGAAAAAATTTTGGAATCAGATTTCTGTCTATGACAATTAGCTCGTCCCACACATCAATAGATACCCAGCATGACCTTCAACATCAACAGATCATTATTATAATCGGATGATCTGACATCTGTTTGTGAGCACTGGAACTTTCAAGATATTTTCATGAGCTTTGGGCGTCGTTGACTCAATGTTATTTTATAGTTGTACCTAGACGTAATATCGCGCAAGCTTTTTCAGATTCCTCAACTGGAGCTATTGAGAGCTGTGAACTGTGTGACCTCTAACCGTTCGTGGGCACCATAATCGATTTCGCGTTGCAAGTGATATTAGTCAGTACTGTTGTAAACGTATGATATTCGGTCAGTATATTGCAGTCTCAGACTCACACAATAAACAGATGAATGCTATCATTTTTTGTTTCCAGATTTGAACGATTACGAATTACAAAAAAAATTGCCACGGAAAAAAATTTACAAAATTGAAAAGGTTACAGATCACAATTCATTTGAAAAACCATAAATTCTGATTTTGAGTGTCACTGTGTCATTTATCTGAAACGGGAATGTTCAAGAACTCGCGAAATTCGCCGTCGATGGCTGAAAATGGAGTTTCACTTCTAAATCTATGCACTTCATTTAAAAAATCATAAATTCTGATTTTGTATGTCACTGGCGTGCAATCTGAAACGGGAATGTTTAAGAACTCGCGAAATTCGCCGTAGATGGCTGAAAATGGAGTTTCACTTCTAAATCTATGCAATTCATTAGAAAAATCATAAATTCTGATTTTGTATGTCACTGGCGTGCAATCTGAAACGGGAATGTTTAAGAACTCGCAAAATTCGCCGTCGATGGCTGAAAATGGAGTTTCACTTCTGAATTTATGCAATCCATTTGAAAAATCATAAATTCTGATTTTGTATGTCACTGGCGTGCAATCTGAAACGGGAATGTTTAAGAACTCGCAAAATTCGCCGTCGATGGCTGAAAATGGAGTTTCACTTCTAAATCTATGCAATTCATTTGAAAAATCATAAAAAATCGAATGAAAAAAAAATCGAATGAAAATCGAGTTTTTCCTAATTTCTTCTTGTAACTGAAGGTAAGTGTTCTCAAAATACCATTTTCCACAATTGCATGCGAAAAGCGAGAAAATTTTGTATTTCAAAAATCTGCATTTTTTCGAAATCAGACAGAAATCAGAAATTATGATTTCCCTGCATCTCTTTGAAATCCCAATGTAAACAAGAATAAAAAGAGGCTCTTCCTCAATTCTACGTGTACTTGAAGGTAAGCGATGATGAACCATAATTTTTGCGTATGTAAAATTCTGATAAAAAATTGAACAATTTCAGTAAAATAGAAAAGAAAGTTCAATAATTTTAGATTCTTTGTATGGGAGACAAAGAATACTGTGAAAGGAGAGCGGACTACGTGAACGGAGAGGGGGTCCTTGAAAACCCTAATTTCCGTACTTGCGAGGGAACCCTGGGGAATGAAATGTAACTTGAAAAAAGGTAATTTCTAAAGTTCGCATCATTCTTTTCAGGGGAGCGGGATGCCCCACAGACAGGGAGATGCTAAAGAAATTGTGCAGTTCCATGGACGAGGTCCTCAACCGCCTCGCTCGCCTAGAAAATGAAATGGCGAGAAAGGACCTCCAGCTCGAAGCTGCCCAGCGGCAGCAGAAGAGCTGGAGTGCCTTGAGCGAGTTGAGGGCCAACTCCCAAGAGACGCTCAAGAGAATTCCAAAAAGAGGAGAAAGCGAAGGTAAGTTGCAATGTGCAAATCTTTATGTACTATCATTTGCGATTTAGAGGCTCTGGCGTACAATTATGCCTCCGCCAAATTCCTGGAGGGCCTCCGGAAATTGTGCGGAGGCAATATGAATAAATTCGCACTGGAGCTGGAAAAGAAAATTTATGAAGACGATACGACGGAACTGACTCTTCCACTGGAAAAAAGGATCCAAACCGCCACCAGAGTCGAATTTATCAAAGAGGTAAAACTTTTATAAATTGTAATGGCATTTTTCTTGCACATTTTTTCAGTGTATCTTCAAATACTACATGGTTCCTGTTGAAACGCGCCAAGCTGTTTGGAGAAGCGCTAAAAACGCACTCAACTCCAGAGTGCGAAGACTAAAAAGCGCTGCTGGAACACCCTCAAGAAGAGCGCTTCTTTTTGAGGCGGAATCGCCGCAGCCACAGGTACACTCGCCTTATGAGTTCGTCGATGATTGAGTTCAAGAGATTTCGAAGCTACAGTTTTATAGAGTAGCTCTAATTCTAAGACTTTATTTACACTGTCGACGAACTCATAGGGCGAGGAAGTGTACACATTTGTATTTAGTTGTAAATATTACTAGTAATTTGAGAATTTGTGTTTGAATTTTTTTTTGAATTTGAATTACATGTTGTATATATTCAACTCGAATGTAAATAATTTATATTTGTGCCATTGTACATTATAAACCAGGCTCCACATGTAAAGTGTTGTAACACTGAATTGTATATAAACTTCTATTTGAATGATTTCTTGTTATTTTGTAATTTTGTAAGTCCTATAAATGTACCGACTGTACGTTTTTCTTCACAGAATAGGGTTAGATAGAGCCAAACTGAAGTTATTACTTTCGTAACAACTACCCTGACTTTGATGTCTGCTTCCTTGCTGAAATTTTGAAATTTTCTCCATAAATTTAATGAAATTTCTAGCAAGCCATGTATCAAAGCAAAAATTGGGAGATATTTTGTAACACTACAACTTGGAACTTGTACTAAGAGTTTTTGAAGAGATTGAGAGTAACTTTTGAATTTCAATAAATTTCAAAAATTGAATTTCATGATTTTGAATTTCAATTTTCAGTATGTATCACACTTTCAAACTTGGAGTTTTAACTTGAACTTGTAACTTATACAGTAACTCAGAGTTTTTGAACAGATTGAGAGTAGCTTTCAAATTTCAATAAATTTGAAAAATTGAAGTTCATGATTTTGAATTTCAATTTTCAGTATGTACCACACTTTTGAAGTGTGGAAGTTAACGTATAAGCACTGCTTCCACATTGTAGTACTGAAGCGATATTGATAAGATAAATCGATACCGGTAGGTCACGGAAGCCAGGGGCCGGAGCCAGCCTAGCTAATAACACCAATACGAGGGACCAAAAAAATACGAAAAATATTTTTTTGGAATTTTAGGTTTTTAGGCATATCAGTGGATAGCCCGGAAAGCGCTGATTACAAATATGTCGCTCAAAATCTTGTACGATAACTCTGGAGACTGTTATCAGCTTATCAGTGCGGAAAAGAGACCAATAGGATTTAGAGGGTGTAATTCACTCAAAAATGATGTTTTTGAACATTTAAACATATTGGCGGATAGCTTAAGAGGCTCTGATGACAACACTGTAAACAAAATTTTTCTGGGACAAGTATGAAGGCAGTGATATCAATGCGGCACTTCCGACGCAAAATCGCGTTTATTGCGCCCTGCGGCACATGAAAATTTTGATTTTTTCAGACTTTGAATAGATTATCGGATAGAGAAAACAGCGCTGAATCCAAATACAATAACAAAAATCAAAAAGAGTAGTATTGTAAAAATCTATTACAATGCGGCACTTCCGACGCAATATCGCGTTTATTGCGCCCTACGGCACAGAAAAATTTCATAATTTTCAATTTTTAAACAGTTTGTCTGATGCATCAGATAGTGCTGGTTCTAAATATTTAAATCAGAACTCTGTGGAAGTAATTTGAAAGAAGTTATAGCAATGCGGCACTTCCGGCGCTTTATTGCGTTTAAAACGCTTTTTTGAAAAGCGGCACTGCCGGTGGTGTACCTTAGTTGTGCGCCGTTTCGTGATCTCTGGCTTTTGGCATCACCAAAAGTGGAATTTGATAGCATCAGAAAAATTATTCTAGAAAAATTTCAAGGGCTGGCTATATACCGCAAAATTGCATTATATTGCCCTTTGTTTGCTCTATCTAACTGTTGCCAAAGCTTTTCCGAAAGTTAAAAATAAAGATTGTGAAAAATTGCCAAACTTGGACATAGTAAAAACCATGGGTTCGAAATTTCGGAGTTTATCTCAGTGAACAAAAGATTAATCGGCATGGAGGCATGACAGTTAGAAAGAGAAGGAAAAGATGCGTCGGATAGTGCTTAGAGCGTTTCCCTATCCTGGTTCCACGCGTTTTTATGATAGGTTGAAAAAACGGACAAAACTTTCGGGACAACCTAATAGTTTGCCTGGAGTCTGTTGAAAAAGTGCCTGGTGAAGGGTGTGGGTAGTGATTTCTGGAGATTTACGAGTTTTTAGGACTAAAAACCCGTAACTTTTGCAGATGAATATCTTGTACGCCGAGATGGTCACCGTTGGAACCGTCTCGTAACAGATGGTTCCAACGGTGACCATCTCGTCCTCCGCTTTCAGAAAATATAAAGCATGTCTGAGATCCATTCAGAAAAGTGCCTGGGTGAAGGTGTAGTTAGTGATTTTTGGAGATTTTCGAGTTTTTAACATAAAAAAAATTCATAACTTTTGCAGCTGAACACCTTATACGGCGAGATAGTCACCATTAAAACCGTATTGTCCAGGGACCGGCAGGAGGGTGCATTTTAGATTTTTGAAAACGATAACCCCTTTGATTATCAAAATTATCAACTTCCCCTTTGACCCCTGACAAACAAGTATACAGAAATAAACATACTATTCATTTATTAGTTCACCAAAGGTGCATAATTTCACAATATACAAAAAAATATGGACGACCGTAATACACTTTCAAGAACTTCATAACAGTGGGAGTATTAGGGATCCGTCAGAGATTAGCGATGTTACCAATGTTACTCTGTTACTAGTGTTATACGTTACTCGTGTTACCCGTGTTTCCCGTGTTACCAGCGTTACTCGTGTTGCTCGTGTTACTAGTGTTAACACCGTTAAGTGTTACTACTTTACCGCTTTTATTGCTGCTGAGTAGGGAGATGATCACAAATACAGTCTCATGCTAGAACACAATCCTAGTGACTGGTAGGTGACACGGGTAATACTGGTAACACCGGTAACACTAGTAACACTGGTAACAGTAGTAACATCGGTAACACGAGTAACACTTGTAACACGGGTAACAATGGTAACATCGGTAAACTCTGACGGATCCCTATATGGAAAAAGATCATTCGACTGTTGTCGCGAATGTCATTCAAATTGCAGCCTTTGCTCATATAGGTTGCCACGAGGCGCAAAGTTGAAGTACACTTTACAAAATCGTTTCAGATGATCAGCTAGCTCTGATAGAGAGAAAAGCGTTTCACACAAGAAATAAAACCGCGAAACCTCAATGGTGAGCAAAGGCCGCAATCTCGCCGACCCTTCTAATTACGAACCTTAGTAAAGGCGAGAAAAAAAGAAAACTGAAAATAACCAAAAACTTCAAAAACACAAAGATGAATGCAAAAATTCAACATCAGGTAAGTTAGTGGCATAAATCCCACAGCTCCACTCACCTGAGGTATTCCGAGTGGGCCTCCAATTGGTTAACTAAGTGCGTAGAGCTGTATTCGAAAATTTTGACGTGTATTTCAGACCCGGTCACAATCCAAGTCTTCCGCGAAACAAACTTGACAGCACGTATGGGCAAATCGCATACCTAAAGAATGTTAGAGGAGGAGGCGATATGCAGAATTGTGAGACCATATATAGACAACAGATTGGCAATCGTCAAGAAATCGATAGTCAAATTGCTGAACAATATTAGATACAGTCTGTGCTAATCATGTACTCCCTTTTGCAATTGCGCCGCATGCGCGCTTACGGCTTGGACCAAATTGACCAACATTATATTGAAGGTCCGCACGCGAGCCCCTCGCGTTGCGAAAGCATTTTCTACGTTAAGGGAGTACGTGTTGGCACAGACTGTACAGCAATATTCCCAAAACGTCAATAAACAACCCTTTGAGACACTGGATTGAAACAAAGCGAGCATCATAAGGCTCAAGCAAGACTTCGATCAAACTACCAAAACTGCTTAAAAACGTCAAACGCCCCTTTTCAAGACGCATTTTCTAAAACACAGTCAATGCTCAACTAAGTATCCGCGAAAGAGGGACACATTCTTAAATGAGCGATATTGAACGAAATCTGGCCGGGCCTGACACAAAAACACGTCAAAATGAAACTGAAGCAATGAAACCTACTTTGAGAGTTTTCACAAGCTGTTTACTCTCGCAGTTCCATATCTGAACGTTCTCACCATAAAGAGCTGCCGATACCCACGGTTTTGTGGGATGAAGGTCCACCGCTTTCACTCGACCCGATCTGAAACTTTTCGACTTCCAATGACATAGACATGCCTGCAATAACGAGCATAAAGAAGGGGAAGAAAAAAAAACGACGCGGAAGAGAACAAATACACGGAAAATCGACTGAGTTGCGAAAACTGGAAAAATTTCCTTGTGAAACAACTTTTTGCAGAAAGCATTACAAGGAGATATGATCGCTGGCCATTTTACGAGCCCACATGGCTTATATGAAGAAGCAAAAGCTTGAAATTTGAGATTTCAACATATAGTAATACTATTAACCTAAACCACATTTATGTAAAGAAATCCGGGAAATTATGTGAAAGAAAGCAGGGAGCAACCCCAGGTTGCTCCCAGGTTGCGCGGGAGCAACCTGATTTCGAAAAACACTCACCATTTTTCAAATTCACATAAGTTTCTCATAAATTTTCATACTTTTTTTTGTGCTCATGGTCGTCCAACTACACAGCAAATTTGGTGCCATAACATCACCTGTGCGTTGAAAACGAGCCTATTTTGTTATTTTCCTCTTACAAGAATTACGATCTGAATTCCCGCTTGCTGGCAGGGTAGCGATTGGAGCAAAGAATTTTCAGATTGCTGGAGTCTAAGTTCGGCTATGGGTCAGGAGTCACACCGCGCGCGGCGATGTTGCAAAGAGCGAAGAATTTTTCAAGGGGCAAACCGTCGCTTCGCGGCGTTATTGCAGCATGCGGTGTGACTCCTGACCCGGAGCCTCTAAGTTCATAGGGCAGCAGTACTAGCAAGGAATGATGGGTAAGGGATGGTATGCGCACCGTTTGTTTATCGGTAAATCTTCATTTGTTTGCTCAAGTTTTTAATGATGTAATCTTGTACATATAGGTGTTACCCCTCGAAATATGGTATTTGACATTCTACGTGCGTCTGGCATGTTTCCGTTGCCTTTCTT